TGCTGTGGTCAGAGAGTTGCTCACCACAAGCATAGCTTCCTGGGGTACTGGAATCCTGCTGCATGGGCATGTGTGGACTCTGACCATAGAACCTTAAGACATTTAGTCCCTGAAGCATATGGAGTTGAGTCCCTGGTGTTCAATCAATTCCCTTAGTATTTAAAGCCTGTTACTGTGGAGTAAAGAACTATTCCTTCTTCAAACCCGTCACTGTGGATCCCAGGGTAAGTGACTGATTACGCGAATGCTTCAAAATGTGGCCAGCATGTCAAGAATGAGTATATTTAATGAAAATATGTTGCTTTTCATTCTGCTTGCTGAAAGCAGAGGTGCTAGTACTGCCTTGAGCACAGAAACTGAGTTAATGTACTGCTGTCAGTGACAAAGTGCTGTTCTTGCTGCCATTGACCCCACGACAGGTGATGAACCCAGGCTCTGCTGCCTGTGCTTTTGGCTGTTCCAAGAAGATGTTGAAAAGGGACCTGCCTGAACAAAGAAATAAAGATCTGAGGTTCATTTCACCTTCTTGTGTCAGATGGGTAATAGGGAATTTAGGGAGGACTGAAGTCATTACACTCTGATGTATCCCAGTGTGGAACACAGAGACATCCCAATGTAGATGAAATATCAGTCTATGCAACTGAAGTACATAAACACCTAAATTGGGATCCTACCTAACACGTACAAAAAGACCCTTTGATCTTGTATTCATAGATGGCTTAAGAGGAAAGACTGATATCAGTATCAAGGGATGGATCTTTGATCAACTTATGCCATCAAGTCTAGGTAGTAAAAGCTAGTCCCAAGTTAATATTTTCACAATGTGTTGCACTCCTTATATTACTCAGAAAACGTTCAAGTGAGGAAATCCTTTTATCATCTTACCACTGCCCTATCATGTTTCATGTGAATATGAAAAACAGCCTTGATTTTCTGGATGTATAAGCATGCAAAAATAGACCCATCATCTTACTTTATTCTTAAATTCAGTGGAGGCTCCAAAAGAAAAGAGATACTTCACTACATCGTTGTGGCCTTGCTGTGCAGCAAAGAACAGAGAAGTTGCACCTGACTGTAAGGGAAAAATGTATTAAGAGAATACCAAACACATAACACACTTGACTGAAATATATACATTTCAAATTAAACAGTATTGAGCACAATCAGTTGAATGACATGATGATTTTGAGGACTCCAGAGGACACCAGGTATCTTAAGTCAGTCTTCTCCCCATTGCCTGAGAAATCTGTCCAGCACCAAACATTTGAGTAAAATCCAAGAAGAACTGAAACCCCATATTTTATACCAGTTGTATAAGATACTGTCATTAACATGTGAGTAAATCAGGACTGAAAATAATATGTAAGCTTTTAATGGCTGGGCAGAAGGAAGAAGGAAGGGAAGGAAGGGAGAAAGAGAGAAAGAAAAGACATGCAGGCTTTCCTTACTTTGGGCTCTCTCATCCCATGCAGAAGGTGCAGTAAAGGGGAGCTACACATGAAATTCACTCCAGTGCCCAAAGCCTTTACAATAGCACATGGCCCCTTTACACCATTTCAGAGCCCTCTCCTGGACACATTTGTGGGGCTCTCACTTCTCCAAGCTTCACAACAACTTCAGAGCACAAGAGCACTGGTTTGAGTATGTGGATTTTGTTGCAAAACAGTGCCATTGGTCTTTAGGGCTTAAACTTCATCTGTTTTGCGTCCTTTCTGCAACAGAGTGCTTTTGGAGGCTTTCAGTGTTTCTCTTTTTGTTGGCTTGTTGAATCAGTATGTCCTGAGCGATACTCAAGAGCAGCTCCATAAAACTGTTCTCAACTTTTTCTTTTGTTGCTGCTTTCCAAGCAATGTTTACCTAAGGGAAGGGACATGTTTAAATACATGTTTTGTTAGAACACGACCCCACTGAAAGACACTGACAATCATGGTTAGAGCAAGTTTAGGCCAGTAAATGCAAAGACATATCATCAAACACGGCAATCACTGACTCAGTAACTTGCAGATGTCAGCATGAGATTAATGTTCTAGTTCCAGGTAACCAAGGAAAGTAAGAAACATTGGCTTATATTGTTGGAGCAACGAGCATACTGCTGTCCTGCACTGCCTGCCACCACCCCATCTAACTTCACACCCACCTGAAACTGTTCTTCTCCTAGTACCAGTGTAACTGTTGTCGTTCCAGAGCAATTCTGCTCTGTGTGTAGCCAACATGCAGACCAGAGTGACTGCAGGTACTCCTGGCAACCATTTGCATGGAGTATGAGTGAAATGCAGTTTCCCCAAACCAGTTGCTGATGTCCCTTCTCCAAGCAAGCATGCCATCGTGCAAGAGATGCCTTCAATGCAGAGATGCAGGGAAGGGTATGGGTGATCAAGCTGTGTGATTGTTAGATATGACTTGGCTCAGACTAAGAGGCAGAAACTCCAAAGCATACGGATTCAAAATAATCCCTGTGCTATCAATGGCATCCACTCTGTTTAAATGGGCAGGCTTCAAACCTAAAGGTAAAGGACTTTTTATCATTTATCTCATCCAGAGTGTGGTAAATTATTGTGCCAATAAATATAACTGCAAATGCATAAATGGCATAACCCTGGGGGCTTACATCTGAGATGCAACTGACCCTCACCAACCAGATGTGCTGAAAATGTTTGATGAGCTATTTACAAATGTACTCTGGCATCTCATTTTCTATTATAAGCTCCAGACATCTGATTCCCTGATGTCCTCAGGAGAACAGACCCTGTTATAGATGTTATACATGCACTGCACAGCAAGTGACAAAGAAGCAATTGGCAAAAAGCAACAGACAACACTCTTATTATTTGTAATAAACCAATAGTCACTTAATCAATCCTTCTTTGAATGCAGAACTTCTCCTACCTCTCTCTGCAGGTTGATATCTGCTCCCTGCAACACCAATTCCCGCACACAATCTATGTGGCCATAGTAAGATGCTACCATCAGAGCTGTTGTGCCAAGCTGGGAATAAGGAAAAACATGTCAGTACCTTCAACAGACACTTACAGCAGTGAATCAGACTGCCTGAGAGAGACAATACTTCTGAAAAGCTGAGGGAAGCTTATGATAATTGAAAAAATGCTGTAATTTAAAACTTAATATCAGTAATACTTTGGGCAATTAGCAGCTATTCAAGCAAAAACATTGCAGACTTGCCTGCAGTGCTAAGGCCTGTCCATTCAACAGATATATATCTGCAACAAGAATTTCAAAAATTGTTTTTTGGATTATACACAGCTTCTTTTTAATCAGAGAATCCCAAAGATCTATGCATCATTTCCAGAAGAATAACCTTAGACACAGGAGCTGAGTGACTCAGCTGAGTCACTTAATTCTGAGTCATAGTCAGGAGAAAGGGCTGGGTGATTTGAGCACTAATTCCCTATCCAAGCGATGAAGGCAAACTCCTTCTGTGACTCCTCACATTATAAGTGAGAACATTCTATACAGAAATAGGTGTTCAAGTTCCCTCAGTACACTGTAACATTACTGTTCCAGTGAACCAAGTAAGATTTAGGGTACATGTATGTGATGCATGGACAATATGTGGAAATCACATGCATAAGGATATGGTTCATTTTCTAGAACACTCAAACAACAGTTCAAATTAAAGAAGCAATGGATGGCATTGCAAAAAAGAAGCATGTGGTCTTAATTGCACACAAATAATTGAGTCTAGAAAATGTGTATGTCTTCTGTAATTAATAAGTCAGGATATTTTGCAGTGCATTGTGAAAATTCTTGACTAAAGTTAGACTTCTGTTGAGAAAAAATAAGCAGTAGTGGAGTTTATTTTTTTTATTTTGATTTCTGTCCTGTTTACTTCAAGCCCCCATGTGAACATCCTTCCCTCTCTGTCAGAAGGGCAGTAATAGTAACAGCATCAGAAGTACTGTAGGACAAATACTTGCCTACAAAACCATGATGAAATGAAAATTAAAAGATAGGTTAAAGTCAATGGGCTTAGAAAATCTCTTGCACTTTGAAAGTATTCTAAGTGAGAGAAGTTGTGGTAGGTTCATGTTTCAGGCTTGAAATGACACTAATCCTGTACAACACTAGTACAACTCTGTGTCAGTCAGTCCCTAAGCCAAACCAAAGAAACCTGGAACTTCTCAGCCTTGGCTTTCCCCTGCGCTTAGACATAGCTTAGTACAATCAAGTATCTCTCCATATGTTGTAGGCACTAGTTATCTGTGTTATCGATCCATTCCTAATCTCAAAGCTAATTTCAACCCATGTCAATTACAGTAAGGAAATGCCCATGACATCTGTCTGCCACTTTGCTTGGCAATCTTATGCCTTCATGCTAGTGCCCAGTCCACAGATACAGGGGTGGAGGAGGAAGACTTTAGGAGGCCAGAAATAACTTTTTTATTTATTATTATTTAT